ACCTGTGGTCGTTTTTCAGACTTCTCTGTGACTTTGACTGGATAAATATATTAACACTTTTCTTTCCTTTCAGGGGCCCTTGCTTTGTTTCTCTTCTTATGGATCCTGCTCTATGGAGAGTGGTGCCTGACCAAGTATTCTTTAACTCTAAATCTGCACTGTATGTCATATTGAATCGTTTGCTCTTTTCATGGCTCTGCACGCTTACCTTTGAGATGGGGTGTTTCACAAGATCGCTTGTAGGTGAATAACCTCATGATACTTGCATCATAAATATGCTCATTTTGGACTGTACCACCCTTGGATGGCATGGGTAAAGCAGAAAGGGATAGCTGCCCATCCCTGCCATGTCTCAATTGAATAAATTAGTATGGTCTGCTTTTCAAAATAGGGTTTTGTGATCATCCATTGCACTGTCTTGGGTGTTGATGTTCCTCTGGGCTTTTATTCACTATCTGCTCCCCTTTTCTTCAAGTGGAGTATGAAAGTCCTTACCACTTAGCAGTTCCAAGCCACTGGGGTAGTTGACCATGAAGGCACCCTGCTGAATGGGTTCCACAAAGATGGCTGTAACCATTCAGTTCCGAGTAAGGTGGTGGTTCTGCTGGTATTATCCTCCAGATTAAGTTTAATATACCCTGGAGTGAGACGTCAAAATGCAGTTCACCCCTTTGGATGTTGGTACCCCATGGGCTGGTTTTGGATTCAGAGTGAACTAATCAACATAAGTCCTCACACAGGTTTTGGGTTGTCTATCTTCCTCCCTCAATTACCCCTTCTTTATTGTGGGTCACAGTATGGATATGTGGGATATCTTCGTTGATGTCCTGGGCTCTCCCTTATTTTCTCTTGTAACCTGAAGGTTATTGCTCTTTGGATATTCTGGACCAGTTTCATGGTCCCGGGAGTTGATTATATGTGATGGACTTCCCTAGGATGCTGGATGTCCCATTCCCAACTCCCTAGCTCATTGCTAATCCTGTGTCACACCCTGGAATCGAGGTGTTATTCTCATCCATGAATCTGGGGTTTGAGGTGAAGATGATATGATCCTCATCCTATCCTCGTGTAGATGCCAGTACCCAGCAAGGAGGTTTTGGATGTAGTTGACTTACCAAGTACGGTCCGCCGTGCCCTAGCCACTCTATGCCATGGGACTCATCTGCATTCACCTACCTTCTTGCTATGGGATGGAGATAATTTCTCTTCCTGGTAGGATCACTCCCTGCCATATTTTCTCCCACTCAGATGTGCTCCCTTATTTTTCTGCCATGTTCTTCCAATTTCATATATGGCAATGAGTATACCTGGATCAGAAGTAGTGCAGTTTCCCTCTTCAGATCTGTGGATCTTATGCTTTCATCTACAGGGGGTATCCTTCAGACTCTTTTGTGTGTGTGGGGGGGGGGGGTACATCTGTCTTCCCTCACACCAGTCCCACCTCCTTATCATTGTGGGATTTAAGCAAATCTTGTGAGTGGAGGGAAGTACCATATCAGAAGTTAGAATTTTCCTGTACTGAAAATGTATTTTTGATAAGTACTTCCCTCTTCTCACACTTCCCCCTTCCTCCCCACAATTTTCTGGGGCTTTTGTTGTCTGCCAAACTTCAAAGTGATAGTTTGGTAGGCATATAGAAGGAGTCGCATGCGTCACGTGATTGTACTGCTCTCCTATTGGTGGAGAGGTGATGCATTATGATTTGCATGAGACACACATTGGAATCTTTGATTCCAATAAGGGGGGGGGGGGGCAGAAAACTTGTGACTTGCATTATAAAAAAAATTGCATATAGAGGGCAGCACAAAATGGGAAAAGCTGATCTTATGAGTGGAGGGAAGTACCTATTAGAAATACATTTTCAGTATAGGAAAATTATAGCATTCAAGTCTATAATTGGATCAGTTGAGGGGCCTAGCAGTGAGATATTCCAAAGCTCAGTAGAAATGCATACTACTTAATTAGCTAAAATGGCTACTCCTTTTTCATGCATTCATGAAGAAATTTGTCACCTAAATTTCTTTTATGAAGAATCAGCTAAAGTTAATAAATAGAATCACAGGGGGGGGGCTATGATATTACTGACCCCAGTATCTGAGCTGGCTATCGATGCCCTAGCACATCCACTTTGAGGTTGCATCGTGTCAGAAACCACCAAGTGTTGTAATGTTATCCCGCTCATTCATATCTTGTTTCCTAACTTTTTGGTGCACTTTTTCCTACTTCCAAATTTTTTTTATTTATAAAGTTTTTAAATTTGTCTCGTATCTTTTTTTGGTACTAAGTCTTGAGAGTGACTGGACTCTAGGCCTATCTATCTTGTAGCTTTTCATAGAGCTATCTCTCTAAATTTCTTGGCTTTTTCTTCCATCTAGCCAGGGTGGCAGCCTTTTCTTTGGCTGGAATAATGGTTAAGGTTTGTTTTGCACATTTAGAATTACTGTTTCTAACCTTATCTCTATTCTTGCAGTCTTTGCTGGGACAAAGCCTTTTCAAGGTTATCAACATAAGATTTTCTCCTTTTGTTTACTTGAAAGGCATATGTTAAAAATTACACTGTTTCAAGTACAACCATAGATGTCAATAGGTCACATTTAGTTTTAAAACAATGCAAATGTAAATTATGCAACCTGTTGTTCTTGTATTCAGTCCAGAGAGCTCGATCAAAGCTATGTTGGACTTTTGCAGTTGTAGCATTCCTCCTCATGTAAGAGACTCGCATCTTAGACATTGAATGCTATGACAGAATTGCTTTGTCCAACACAGAACACTCGAGTCAGATATATAGATTTGAAACTTCACTTTCAAAGGTTAGATCATAGTTAGACCTAGATCTAGAGAATCATCATTGTCCACATTTTTCATCTAGCTGGTGCAGCTGTAGGCTGATCACATAGCATGTGCTCATAAGCAATTGTGCATCCACATGTGACATGAAGGCAGGTTGTTACTTGGCAACTCGCAGAGCATGTTCATAATCATAGAATATGGCTATTAATGTATTGTTAGTAGTGTTGCAGAATGGTTATTGTTAATACCAAGGTTATAAGTAAATCTAAGAAAAATGCTTTAGCCAAGGTAGCATAGTTCAATCATATGTATTTAGACTTGTATAAAGTGAAGGCAGGAGAGAACTATGCCTTTCCAACAATGTTAGTCAATAAGTCAGATTGACAAATTTGTGTTTTTTTTGTAAAATTTTTGTTTTTACTGACTTTCTCAAGTGATTTGGTGGCTTTTTATTCTGCTGTTTGTTTTTTTACATGCAGTGTGCAGTATGTTTGAGATTTTAATTTGTATTGTACATATTGCACATCTGGCCCATTCCTACTATAAGTACTGCCATACTTATGATAAGCAAGATTAATAAGGCACGATTTTCCCCTAATAAAACCATACTTACTGTTCAACAACATTTTAAACTTTGTTAAATGAATTTGCAAAGCTTCTTTTATCAGACTTTCAACAACTACAGATATAAGACAGATAGGCCTATAATTACTTGAATAGTTTTTTATCACCTCCCTTGACGTAAGAAATAATGTTAGTGAACTTCCAAGAGTTTGTGGTATCAGGAGAAATGATGATTTTTGATGACATCATCACTATGTGACAGCTTTCTAAATTGAGCAGATGCTTGTGGAAAATATAGTTTATTTTTTTTTTTACCATCTTGATGATTGTATGATAGATTAGGCAGTATTATGAAACAATAGCAGTGAGTAAGGAAATATTTTTAAGCACCTGTAGCATAGTGGCAATGAGTAGTACTATTAAAAAACACACATTTTATTTTATTCTTACCATTTGTTCTGTTTGCTTGAATTTACATTCATCGTGGTTTAGACATCAAATCTTTCATGAAAGGTAAGTTGTGTAAAAACTGTATATGTTATTGTTTTACAGTGTTCCACTAAGGAAAATATTAAGTGTACTATGAAAAAATATGCTGCTATAAATATTTTTAAATAAGTTAATTTAAAATGTCAAGAAAGATTCCAAATACAATTTATGTAATTAAAATGAAAAATATTCTTTGATATAATAAACAGTAAATATTGCCAATTGATAAAAATAAGGCAATGCAGTAATGTTTTGCCCTCTAAGTTTTACTGAAATGGATATATTGCACATTATCTGTTTGTATAGTCACAGGATAATTTTGGGATATAACATATACTAGATAGGCAAGAATCCTGGGCTTATAAACGGTTGTATGTTTAATGTAAAGATTAAAGGGCTTTTGGTTACTTTTTTCCTAAAAATCATGAATTTCAGTAGTTTTTCTGTATATGTTTCAGTTACTTTGAGCCATCTTGTGCCCAGATTATGCAAATATTGTTTAAAAATGTAACCAAAAAATTTCAGTAGATAAGTGATAAAATTAATCAACAGCCAGTTAACTTTGGATGTGCCATGACAAAAATCTGTGTAACTTTTAATGGAGAACTTTTAATAGAAGGTCTGTCAGAATACTGGCTACTAAGTCTGCACAAAATAAATAGTGCATCTTTTGTTGGAATGAAACTCATTTTCTATGCACATATCTCAGTTCAGCAAGTAACCTACAGTAATAAAAAAAAAAAGTTTAATGTGTTAATTTATAATCTGAACAGAAATGAAAGTATTGGAACAGGAAAGAGGTTTAGCTTTATCAAGATCCTTACTGTTGTTTTTGCTTATTTATTATTGTTGCAGTTGTTACAAAGATCATATGATATTTGACCTTTTGCCATTTTCCTTTAACTTAAAGGAGTAAACTCTGAACTGGTAAGTATTTTATTTCATGCACAAAGCATACTTGTAATTTTAATGTAACTACTGGCAACCTGTATTTCTGTTAGCCTTAATGTATTATCATAATATTTGTTGTATCAAATTCCAAGTTAGTACTGACACTAGGCATTTTTTATACATTTTAGAAATAGAATATCAAAATTTTTTTGTGATTTTTTGACAATTAACACACTATCTTTAATTGCTTTTTGTGATTGTTCTAGACACAGACTAGCCTACTACGCAGTGTTTGATGGCCATGGAGGAGTACGGGCTTCACAGTTCTCTGCAGCCCAGCTTCACCAATATCTGACAGCTAAGTTACCCAAGGGTACCTCCTGTTCCAGCTTGTGTCTGAACTATTTTACACATAATGCTTCATTTCTAGGATAAGGTCAGTTGAATCATGGCATCTGTAAAGCCCATGTATAGAGACAAAATTCACAAAACCAATGCAAAAGGTTCAAGAACGAAAACAAGCATAATACAGACTATTTTACATTTTACAGCATATTCAAAATCAACAGGATCCTAATTGGTTGTCTTCCAGTTTCTATAAAAAGCATGTTAAAAGAAAATTTAGAAAAGTGACTGAGAATACTACACAGTAAATTAACTTTACAGACACAGCAGATGTTTTCCATAAAAATTTTAAGACTTGAAAATAATTATTAGCAAATTAATGACAGTGCTGATAGTCTCAAACTAAAAACTAATGAAAATTCAGAAAAGAATCAAACATAATAATACTTAGAACTTCAGCCAAAAAAATATATCTGTTTTTAAGAAAGAAAACTGTTAGTAAGATTTAGTGCATCAAAAAAAACAAAGATTAAATTGACATTTGTATTTGAATTAAAAAGATACACCAGATAGATGAAACAAAAAATTGCTTACCCATAAAACAAATTACTCAAAAGTTACCAAAATCAATGTCAATACTCATTTTGCTTCTGGAGGAAATGCATGGTCTGTTGAGTATTATACTTCTCTCTCAGGTGATATTCTAGTATCTGCTGGTGTAAAAATTCATTATTCAAATAGATTGCCTTACCTGTACCATTGAGCTTTTTCTTCCTACTATCATTATTACAGTCAAATTGAAATGTACTGCATTGTCATGTTCTGTATAAACAAGTTGATCTTTCACTAAAATATTACAAAACATATCTTCACTTTTGGCTTCTGTAAGGTTTCCTAGTAAAAAAGCTAGATTGTCATTGTGTTGTAAGTTTATCTTGGCACTGTATAAAACCAAATATAAATGCATTACAGTGAAGTCATCTCAGTGAGATTAACCCCTCTTTCTTTGTTGATTTTTTAAATGTAACTTCTTTGGTTTTTTGTTTCAGTGGTCATGGCTTACAGGAAGGCTCCCTCCAGTATGTTATATTCAGTTCTTAAGCTATTACAGAACATTTAGTCTTTTTCATATAGTAAACCTTCTTCCCAATAGCTTCAGATAATTTACTTTTTTGGGTAGTGTATATTTTTCCTTCTGTTGATGTTCACTATAACTTACAAGCATGGCTCAAATGTGCAAGCTGTGGGTTGCTAGGAGCAACTAAAATTTGCCTAAGTGATCGCATGTTAATTTGTTTTCAACATTAATGATTGTGGGAGTGAGAATGTTGAATACAAAATATAAAATGTAGTTTCTCTGTTTAAAAATACTCCACTTCTACACAGTGTTGTAACAAAAAATAATGCTACTTTTGTGGTAGTTTATCTGTTTAAAAATACTCCACTTCTACACAGTGCTGTAACAAAAAATAATGCTACTTGTGTGTCAGTATTCTTTAATACTATCTTTTTTTAAAACCCAGTAAATTTGAAATAATGCATTATGTCATTTCTTCATTGCTAACTAACCATATAAACATTATGAGCAGTAGATGCAGGACAAAACAACTAAATGGTAATGCCAAAATCAGTTCATAATACTTTAAACATAGATCATCAGATGAAAAATAGAGAATATGAACAAACCAAATGCTAAATCCCAGTTTAAACAGTTTAAAAAATTCAGAATCATTGGTTTTAAATATATAGCTGGCTCAAGAAAGTGAAGCAATTCATATTTTTATTTTAATTAGTTCTGCATGTTTTGGATGTTTTGTATTTTTCAACATTCTGTCCTAATTAGTATTTCATATTAATAAATAAATTGTACCCTTTTTAATACTAGGGGAACATGTTATTGAATAATTGGAACTATAGAACTAAGAATATTTTTAATTGGCCATAAAATTATAAAATATAGGAGCCAGATACCTCCAAGTATTTTGTATAACTTCAAGCCTTGCCTACAAGCCCATTTTCCTGTGACTCCCTTCTATCTAGACAAGATTTTTATTACCAGAAAGGGATAAGATTGCTTTTTACCCATAATTGAATTTGCCATATCATAGGACTCAATATTTTTGTACCTATAGATCCTGCTAATATAAGTTTGGTAAGCAATCCAGGAATTATAAGCTACATTCCCTACCCATTAGCTACAAGAGAATTTTCCTGTAACAAAGGTAGGGTTTCCATTTTGCTAACATTGTGTATGAAACACATTGACACTGTGTAGTATCCATCAAAACCCATCTCTGGGTTTTCTAAATTTGGCCTCACAAGATTTGTCATTTTGTGTTTTGTTTTCTTGTAGCTGCTTGAATTTCTTTGTAATATATTCTTCAGGCTGGAATTGGAAAAACTTGCACATTTTCATTTCTTATTAACTTTTGCAGATCTGTGTTTCTTCCACTGACAGTTTTTGTCTGCCTCATCTGATTACCATTAGTTGTTGCTCACCATAGTCGGGTACATCTATTTATTTCTTAGTGTATTCCAAAAGCAATATTAGCTGACACTCATTTCCTATTTCTATATTTTTGTCTGGGTTTGCTGTGTGGTATGCAAATACATACATGGTATTTTTCATCTCCTTTAGGTTAGCAAGGTGAACCTTTCACATTCATTCAGAATTAAATTTTTTCCTTCACACATTTGTGTAGTTCAAAACTATAAAACATTGATCAAGGAATGTGACTTAACCCTCTCCACACAGGTCAAAGGCCATGTCATCACATTTGTTGACTCACATTCTAAATTTTATTGAACTACTATTTTATGAATTTATGTCAATAAGTTTGGTATCAAATTTTAGCATGTTACATTATTTAATTTCTTAATTGAAAAGTAAATATTAAAAAAACACACCTAAACATCGATTTTTGTGTGTCATGTGGTGTATTGAATGCAGCACTGGTTCCAATTACATGTTTGTAATGTCCAACTACAAAGTCTATAGTTTCTTACGAATTAGGAACTCAAATGTTCGATATTGACAAGCTAGATTATAAAATAAGAACCTCCTATCTTTTGTATTTGCTGAGAGATTGCTCGTGTATTGAATCAAACACAGTGGTCCTGCCCACCTCTTTCCATTTTTGGAAGCACTTCCTAATACACAGTTACTTCTGTCTGTGACATGTGCATAACCACTCGATAGCTCAGAATGTTTCCTTAGTGGCTTTCTCAGCCATTTTCATATATTATGATGTCAACTCGTTCAAGACTTCAAGTTTATAAGTCGAGTCTTTAGTCTGCTCGAAATTTAATATTTTTTTAGACCCAAATGCAGCGTAGTTACTAAGCTTGATAAATTATAATGAAATTCTATGGTATCAGTATAGTAGTTCATGATTTTTTGGTTATTTCAAATGTATGTATAAAACCTAAAGAAATATTTTTGTTTCATATCTTCACGTGTGAAATTTTATAAGGCTTAGCAACCTACAGCAAGCAAAAAACGAGTACAAAGGTACTAGAAGATACAATTATTTGCTATACTTATTTATTTACTGTTCTCTGTTTTAAGAACTTATTTGTAAATATTAATATTGTATATACATATATAATGTATTATAACTGAAATGTGACCTGTATTTTACAAAATACTACTCCATTAAAACACAGCCATGACAGGTCACTTTGTAAAGGTCAGTTTTATACAGTAACGTAATTGCACGTACTATGCGTCATTGTAACTTCTGTATTGTTAGCCCGACATGACTGAAAGGTCAATATAATAAATATATATAAATGTATAACATTATGACATTTAAGCTATCTAGACTAAACATTTGTGTTTTTGAATTATAATTTGTAGTTATCTAGAACAAAAAAGCATATTTATTTCTTAATTATTTTATGGTGGTTACGAGATCAGTCAAATCTACTGAACCCTTATAGAGATTGAGGATAAAATCTAAAAAAATTTCTTAAGAAACCTTTGATAATTATCTGTAAATATTGATATGGTATATACATATATAATGTATTATAACTGAAATGTGACTGTATTTTACAAAATACTAGTCCACTAAAACACAGCCAAGACAGGTCACTTTGTGAAGGCCAGTTTTATATTATTGGATACTGTAACATGAGTGCACGTGCGCCGCGTTATTGCAACTTCTGTAATGCTACCCAGGCAAAGATGAAACGTCTCAATATAATAAAAATAATAAATATATATAGATGTATAATGTTATGAGACTTAAGCTATTTAGGCTAATTATTTGTGTTTCCGTGTTATAATTTGAAGCCATTTTAGAAC